GAGTTTGGGGTAGGATATGAGGAGGGAGCAGAATCCCTTCCATGTTCCTCTGACTTTCAAATTTTAAGAAACAGCCATTGTTTCAGTATGGCTGCAAGATGGGATTTGTGGGAGCAAGTGGTTAAGTGTCTGGTGTCTCAGCTGTATGACTGAAGTAATTTGTGGACTTTGTTCTTGGAAACAAGTAACTGAATATAACAAACACTAGACTCAAGTTCAGGTCTTGATTCTAAATCTGAAAAGAATGTTTATTCTATCACTAGAGTAGGGCAGTATAAAGCTCAGGTGGTAAATAAAATAGGAGAGTTCTCTGCAGTAAAAAACATTGGGGGAACTGTATTCCCAGGAAAAGGCAAGCAGTTTATTGAAAGTTCTCCTTTCTGTACAAAAATGGTCCACTGACTTGCAGACACTGAACAGGCAAGTACTTAGATACTGAATAATTTATTGCCTGTTTCACTTAGTGTTTTTGTACATTGCTTTTGCTTAGATATCCAAAAGGGCATGTGGGTTGGACACATTCATACCATTGATTTGAAATGCCTTTTTGGTGGTTGACAGTTTGAGCTTCTTTGTGTTTCTCTTTGTAGTAATGATCATTTCTATTCTCTGAGGCTTCTCCAATAAATCTAACCTAAAAGAGTCAGAATCCCACAAAATAAAATGTAATTTTTTTGGTAATGCTTCCTTTGGAACTTGGCAGAAATCTTAACTGGCATTGAAGGTAGAGGGAGAAGACTCCAGGCTTGATTTCAGAGCTCATAAGCAGAAGATTGAAAGAACTCTCAGGACCAGGCGTGGGAGATTCACCTCATTTCCCTCTATTTCAAGTATGACTCACTCCATTTTATTTCTTGTATCCTGTTTGAGATGCAAATAGCATCTCTTGGTATCAAGAGACAGAGGTCTAGAAAAGTTTTTTTTTAAACCCTAATTTTATGCAGAGTGATGTCCAAATTTGCCCCACCATTTGTGTTCTTCCCTGGGAATTAATATCTTTAAGGTATTGGCTGCTGTACTTCTGTCTGCAGTAGGAATCCACCCACTAAAGGATTTATGAGCTTGACAGCCTGAACCAACTAGAGATTTGGATAGGTGATTCACTTAGCACTGAGAACAGCCTCTGACCTCACTTGTCTTCATTCTATTCTTCCTCGTCTCCCTTTTCTCACTTTCTTCTCTGGAACCATATAAAATTATGCTTTTGTCTGATGTGTAGCACTTAGGAATCATTATTATTTTTAAGATGGGGTCTTATATTACTCAGGCTGGTCCTGAGTGCCCAAGATTGAGGTCCTCCTAACTCAACCTCCTGAGTAGCTGAGACTACAGGTGCATAACTCTGCACCCAGCTTAGAATTCGATTTTCAAAGATCTCATTCTCTCAAGCATTTTAGACCAGATACTGTTCTAAGATAAATTTTGGTGATGGTGTTTTTCCTTATAGCTAGAATGTTCTTCACTCTCAAGGTAAGTTTCTTTCCTGTACTCCTGAGGTCATTTTTTCATATCTTTCCCTAACACTTCACTTTTCTCATGTTTCCATTGAGAAAATTAGAGACCATAAAAAGAGACCTTTCCAAAAACAAGTTTTATAAATATTCCTGATGGCATCGATCTTTGCCTTCTTTCTTCTTAGTACAGTGAGGAAGTTTCTCTTTGTTTACAAAAACTGAAAGTTTATCCTGTTCTCTGGATCCCTCTTTCTTTGCTCTCTTACGTTTTTTTATTCTGTTATCCCTCTCTCTAGCATCATTAATTTCTCCATATCATCTGGGTCATTTTCGTCAGCATATATTCTTGTATTTCCCATCTTGAACAAAAATTGAATTCCTCTCTACCTACCATTCCACTTCTTTATTCTTCTTTACAGACAAGATTTTTAAAAAGCCTTGTTTATGCTGTCTCCATTTCTCAACTTCAAGTAAATTTCCAAATCATCGCAATCTACCTTTCCCCTTCAACTCACCAGAGAAAAAATTTTTCAAGGATACTAACATATCCAGGTTGTAAAACCCGATGGAGAATATTCTGCCATTTTTCCTAACTTCTGAGCAGCATCTGGCAAGTTAATCATTTTCCTTTCTCAAAATAGGACTTCTCTTGGATTCTGACTCCATGTTTGTCTGGCTTATCTCTTAGGTCTCAGGCTTTTATGTATCAGTCTCCTTGACTGTTTCCTTCTATTCTGTCCATCCACTAATAAAATAGATCCTATAGGACTTAGCATAGATCTCTTTCTTTACATTCTTCCTATGTAATATCATCCAATATCATAATTATAAGAATTGATGAGTCTCAATTTTTTTTTATCATTTCCAAACTCCCTTTTCTGGACCAGGCTTGAATAACAAAGTGCTGCTTATTCAATACTCCAACTTGAGTGTCTCTTGAGCAACAAATTGAATATGTCCAAAACAGAAATTTTAATTATTACTTTATTTTAGCTGACACATAAAAACATGAAAATTGTACAAATTAATGTGGCCCCATGTGTTATTCCTATACATTTATACATGTGTGTGATCAAAACATAAATTTTGATTTTCCCACTAAAAACCTATCCTTTTTCTCATACAAATAAATAGTATCACCATTTTCCTATCTGTAAGCCATTATTGATTTTTCTCTATCAGTGTCTCCATATTCTGTCTCTTACCAAGTTCTGTGAATGCTACCTCTAATATAAATTAGAATCTCCCCAATCTTCTCCATTTTTGAGAAGATGCCACCCCATCTAGGCCAACTTCACCTTGTGCCTAGTAAAATCCTATATAATTCTAATAGGTCCCTCTCCTTTTGACCATTCACTTTTCTGTCTGTTTACAGCAGCAAAAATGATCTTTTAAGTGTGAATCTGATTACTGAATAGTTTTATATTGTTCTTCAAATCTGGTCTTGTCCAATGGGTCTACACATTACTGCTCATTTCTACAACTACAACTTAGCAACTGTGCTGCTCACTCAATATGATTGAGTTCCATACTAGCCCTTTCTCAGTTCCTAAAATATATAAACTTTCTCCAGTCTTAGGGCTTTTGCCTTTGCTGAAATAGTCATTCCATGGTTCATTACATTTTGTTTTCTTTCCATCAGGTCTTCAAAATTATCATTCTTAATCATTCTAGATTCCTTTCCCATTCTCTACCACTACCTTTGATTCCTTTATGACTCCTAGCTAATTATTGTTTCTTATATCCACAAGACCATTGGTTCCCAGAACCTTCCATATTGGATGTCTAGGTTTCACTCAGGATTTTTTATTTGTGTGGTCTGGGATACAGCAGTTCTGTGGTCATCAAGATTTTTAATTGCTCCCTGTGTAATTTTAATCGGCAGCCAAAACTGAAAACTACTGCCATAGACCTTTGGCTCTCAGTGTGGTGCCCAATCAACAGCATCAACATCACCTGTGAACTTATTAGAAATGCAAAATCTCTAGTCCCATCTCAGTTCTACTGAATTATCTCCAGATAATTCTGACAAAAGTTTAGAAACTACCATTCTAATGTCCAGGAGGGTTATTTCTTGGCAGAGATTGCACAGTGCTGTTAATGTAATAGGCATAATAGCTATTTGAATCAACAAATTAATAATCAATAATAACCATAATCAATAAATATGAATAAATTACATAAATGCTACAATGAACAAATGGCTTTCTCTTGCAGAATTGAATGCAAATAATCTGTTTTAAAGCTTTTTT